GGGAGTTGCCGTTCACAGGTGGAGTTTCAGTTATGCAAGAAGATGACATGATTACATTCTAGAGATCTGTGGTACAACATCACGCCCATAGTTAACGGGACTCCATTGTACACTTTAAAATGTGCTAAGTGGGTAGATCTCATGTTAAATATTCTGACACAATTAAAAAAACTCAGAACCGCAACAGTTTTATGCCACCTTTTGAGAAAGTGTTATGAAAGACTACACACTGTCATCTCGGAACCAACTGTTGGTTGGATGAAACAGACTTTTATCTACCCATTCGAAGAATGTACTATTGAAAATAATATATTTCCTTTTCCCAATCAGATGCATAGTTTGGAAAAAGGATATTATTTTAAAATAACAACAGTTACTCCATAGTGAGAGATTATTATGTAGCAGGCAGTGTCTTATTCAAACCCCACAGCAATAGTGTGAGATGAATGCTATTATTATCCCCATTTTATAGATGAAGGAAGTGAGGCTCAGGGAAGGGGAATAACTAGATGAAAGGTCTTACATTAATAACCCCTTAAGGAGCTGATTGTCCAATTGTTCTCCTCCCAGTCTCTCTTAAACTCACAAGAAAGTTCCCCTCCCCACTTCTAGGTCAGCGGTAGGTTAGCAGACCTCATCTTACACATGTACTGTCAGCAGCATTTATGCAGTTAATCATCTCTCCTTGATATACTTTCCTCACTTTCCTGGATTTCCTCCTCCCTTGAACCTCCTTAGCTGATTCCTCCTCTTACTGTTGGGATGCCCTTGGGCTCAGTCCTTGGGCTTCCTCTTTTCTCTGTAGTCATGCTCTGGTCATCTCATTCAGTCTCATGGCTGCAAAACCATCTATAAGCCGATGGCTTAGATCTCCAACCTGGACCTTTCACCTGAACTCCAGACTCATATATCCAACTACATAGTGGACCTCTCCATGTGGATGTCTCATAGACACCTCAAACTTACCATGTCCCAAATGGAACCTCTGATCTTCCCACAAAGCTGCTCTACTCACGGTTATCCAGTCTCAGTGCACAAAGCGTGGCAAATTCCATTTTTCCCCGTTGCAAAGATGCAAAACTTTGAAGTCAGTCTTGACTCTTCTCTTTCCCTTACCTCCAACATGCAATCTGTCAGGAAGTTCTATTTACTCTACTTTCAAAATACATTCAGAATTCGATTTCTCACCACCTCCACTGTTTCCACCCTGCTCGGAGCCACCGCCATTCACTTAAGTTGTTGCCATAGCCGCCTACCTACCTGGCCTGCCGACTCTCCTTCTTGCCCTGCTATAGTTTGTTCTCCACTGAGCTGCCAGAATGATTCTGTTAGAATATAAGTCAAATGATGACAGCCATAGCCTTAAAATCCCCCAATGACTCCCACTTATATTGAGAGTAAAAGTTGAAATCCTTGCAATGGCTTCTAGGAGCATCTGGCCTCTGGCCTCTGTTACCTCTGACTTAACTTCCTCTTACCTACACCTCACATAATTCCTCTCCCCTATGACTCCCTTGCTGGTCCATGAGCAGTCCCAGAGTGCTTCAGCCTTAAAGCCTTTACACTAGATATTCCCTCTGCCTGGAATGTTCTTCCCCCTTCAAAGCTGTTTTATTGACTTCATGAAGACTCTTTGACTCTCCTATTTAACATGGACTCTGCTCCCCACATCCCTGCTCAGTGCTGCTTAGTTTATTTACATAATCTCCTTCTAATGTATGTAGTAATCTACTTATCTAAGTTTTTATTAATATTTGTCCCCTCGACCCTCAACAAGACTTTAATTATCAATGGTTTCAAATGCAGCTCTGTGACTAGAACAGACGACACATGCCCAATAAATATTTGTTGAACGAATAAAAGTGACAGCATCTCAAATCTTAACTTGTGGCATGGTGATTCCCTGAGGATTGTATTATGAAACCAACTGTCTCCAGTCAGCCTGGACGGTGACAAAGCCATAGGGAAGAAAGTTATCAACTTAAGTTTCCAAACATAATAAAATGATTTAGAAGAACCAAACTATGTCAGATGAGTGAACTGAGCTGTGAACGTGGTAGCATTTGCTCTGATTGCTCCTATACCTGCTTCCAGGGACACGTCCTGGGACACAAGTAAGTCTGTTGTCTGACACTAGCCCAGCCGTGTCTGTGGTGTCTCAGCTTGACTTTGCTCCCTACCTCATGGGATTGTGGAAGTTATTAATAAATGTGAATAAGTTGGAACAGCATCTGCATATAGTAAACTCTTAGTATTTGTTAGGTGCTATTGTTATTATTTCATAAGGGCTTTTAGAAAATACTACCTTTATTCAAAGAATTTACTCTAATGAATGAATTTTGCATATCATGATTAGCTGATGAAGGAAATGTTTTAGTAGAGGTATAGAAATACCCACTTGTCTTTTTAATCATCTAAGCTTAAGGTTTCTGCTTTATGGGTGTGGCAGGGAGGAGAGGATTTTGGTGTCAATCAGATGCCTGTTGAAGATTTTCTATAAAGCTTAAAAATATATCTCTTCAAGGATATGTCTTGAATGATCTTTAATAGCACAGCTACAGGAAATAGTATTATACAAATTATCTACTCAGGTATGAGTGTTTTCTAGACTCCCACTACTGCTGCAGTTGCTAGTGTATCTTTATAAATGGCTACCATTTACGCAGGGCTAGCTCTGTCCTAAGTAATTTACCTCTACTATCTCTCTACTTTTATCACAACCTAAGAATTAAGGATTAATTAATATTCTCATTTCTTTGTTCAGACTCATAGAGTAGTTAGGATGGTTGCCTCATCACATAGCCAGTGATAGAGCTTGGATTGAAATCTACAGTTTATCGTTAAAGCTTATTCTCTTAACATTACATCATTTTGTGGAAAAGCCAAGAAGACAAACACGTTTCTCTTCTAACTAGATTAATAAATATCAGCAGAATGACACTATGGGAGAATTTTACGTATAAGTGAATAAAGATTTACTTCTTAATAGTCTGAGTACTAAAGATTGATTAATATACTTTCTGAAATTGTAAACTTAAAAAGGTAGAAATTGATCAAGTTTCAATGAAAATGATTATTGAACTACAAGAAAATAAACTCTGGTGGAATTAAGATGAATGTTTCTTGCCAAAGTGAATTGTAATGGACAATTATTTTAAGAGTTTTTACACATGTAAATAAAGTACAACCAAGGTACTCAAAGGTCTGGCATGAAAAATATTTCTTTAAAACTTAAAAGTACTTTGCAGTCTTAAGTGATAACCAATCATCAGTGATTTCTTATAAATACCTGAAAGGAAGAAACTGTTAAAACATTTTATTTCTGGATAAAAGATCTGTAGATATATATTTCTTTTTATGTAGATTTTTTTTAATTAAAAATACCTAGAAACTTATCGATGAATTTAGTATGGTTTTAAATAGGAAGATGGTTTCTTTCTCCTTTCCTGATTGCAAACTGACAAAGCATCGGATTACATAAGAAGCCCAAACCAAAGGAGTTAGGGTCTCTACAGAATGCTCTAAGAAGAGATTGGAAAGTGTAAGGTACCACTTGGCAGTCTGAGGACTGAGAGGCCGCAGCAACTGCAGGTTTTTGTCTCTCTGGCTGAAGAGGTATCTTTGCAGTCTCTGGAGAAAGCTCAGATGGCTGTTTGTGGCTTTCAGGATCGTGTCCTGAAAGGGGAGCTATCTTAATGGAAAGAGACGCTGTGTGTATCTCAGGCACTGGGTTAGGGGGTGGTGAGCAAGGCCTTTTACGAAATGATGGTACTTCAACAGATTTGGAAAACTGTGGAGGATTAAAGGGGATGCTACTTTCTGGATCCTGGTTATGGATTAGTTTCAATGTAGAGATTCTCCGAGTCTGAGAATCTTGCGTGTAGTCCTCTTGTAGAAATGGGGTACTCATGTCAGCTTTTGGTGGGGAACCTGTGCTGGAAGGTGGTGGTAGTGGATTAGTGATTTTTTGTGTATATGAAACAGTTGTGTTAGATTCTTCAGAATATACAATTGTCTGGCTGGACTCATCATTAGAATACATAGTTCCCTGAAGAGGTGTTTTGTTAGTAAAGAACTCTGTACAGGAGGGAATTTGTGTGTTAGTTACTAATTGGTCTAAAATGTCACCCTTTGTGTGACTGGTTATCAAGGAGCTACAGAAGCTCTCTTTTCTGGGTGGTGGAAGGGGTGCCTGGATTATCAAAACATCCGGAGAAAGAAATAATGTTGAAGGAAAAACAGAGAGAAAGTCAAAGTTAATCATTAAACCAGTGTTAACTCTACCCTTAAAGTAAAGCAACGTGATACCTTCTTATTATGCTATACATTTTGATGGCCAGATTGAATGATCATTTTTCCTTTGTTTAGAATGTGTTTTAATTTATTATCAATAGTTGCCCTCTGGAGGAAAATAGTTTTATGGAGAATAGAGAATACATTATAAAGTTTGTCTCCATCTACATTCTGGGAAATTAGGTTAAAAGTGAACATATGTTCTCTTGGCATATTTTTAGACCTTGAGGTGTATATATATATATATATATATATATATATATAGTATTTACTCACATTGTTTTGGTAACACTTTTCACGCCTGTAACACAATTTTACTAATCTCTCCAACACAGAGTTTCTTTAGTTAATATAATGAGCAGTTGTATAACTCATATTTATTGAGTAAATAATATATTGCTGACCTCATAACTTTGAAATCCAAATCATCAGCTGACAGTTTTTTAAGAATTAGAAAATATCCTAAAAATTATGTCAGAAACTGACCTGCTTTTATCAGCTGAATTAGAAAAAATATTCAGAAACCTGTTTTGAACTTAAGACTTGTCTTCCACGTTGTAAATACAAGTCAATACGAATACAAAAGCAAAACCATATCAAAAATGAAACATATCAAAATATGCATGTTACTAGAAAAGAGGCTCTAGAGCAGTGGTCTAATAGCCATGCTGTAAAAGAACACAGTAGACGACAGTGTGCAAGATTACCTGAACTGGTGATTTCTTTTCTTGTAGATTTGGTCGAACGCTTCTAAAACCTTTTGCTGCAAGAGAGGAATATGTAGCATCTCCATTCAGTGTCTCTTGATTTCGATCATTGTAACCTCTCCAAGCTTTTATTAAGGGAAAGCAAATCGGATACAAAAATATCTACATTCACTTTTAACATTTTTTAAATAGAATTTATTTTTTATTTCCAAAATGGAAGTTTTCTTCTTTCTTTCTTAAAAGTTTAATATACATAAATGTATATGCAGTTTAAGTTTACGGTAGGATTAACAATGTGGCTATAAATATGTTTTTAAAAAAACTCACAACAAATGTAGTGGTTATTCAGAACAGTTTTTTTTTGTACCTGAGTCTGGTGACTGAGAATCACGCCCTAAAAGAAAAAGAAACGTTGAAATGAATACTCCGGTAAAAGAAACGAACAGTCGCGTAAAGATCATCTGGCCAAGAGCTACATGTATTTTTTGGCAAACGTTATCTCAGTTCTAAAACTCTGGGTACGTCAAATAAACTAATGGAAGTTTGTGCATTTATTTTTACTCCAATTAGAATGTAATTCATTAAATATCTATAATATATAATTAACACATATATCAAACACTGATTTTTCCCTCAGTAATATTGCAGCCATTCAATTTTATCTTATTATTGCTTAAGCTGGATGAATTTCTAAATATCAAATTAAAGGGTCAAATGGTTTGTAAACAATGAATGCTTCTCCCAGCAGTGAATCAAACCACCAGATCCTTAGCTTTCAATGCCATTGATTTTTTTGTAGTTTGCGGGGTTTTTTACCTTAAGAAAGTGTAAATACCCTACCATATTATGTGATATTTTCAAATTATTCTCTAGACTTTGAATTTTCTTTTTATTGCCATTTGAGTCATTTTATATTCAATTCTGAAAGAGCTGTTACAAGACATTCCATTGTCTTGCAGGAAGCATTTCAGTACTAGTAAATTGCTTTTGATAATGCAGTTGGGAAGTGGCTCAATGACATGTTTACTCTCAGTTTTATTGGAATTATACATTCAAGTATCTCCTATAACTTATGAACAATTTTAGGTAATCAATTTATGTTGCTTGGCTCTATTATAACACATGGCCAACTTCACCTAGAATCATAAAGTCTTAATTTTGGAAAGGATCTTAGGGGTCATTCAGCTTAACCTTCTGTCCAGGTCCTAGATTCCTTCTGCATGTTCCCTGAAACCATTATTAATTGCTGTTATTTCAATGCCTAATAGAACATGAAAGTTGCGTGTAAAAAGGACTCTCTGTTTTCTAATGCTTAAGGAATAGTTATTTTGAAATCTAAATACATAAATTTGGAATGATAAACATTAGTTGAGAAATACAAGACTTTGATTTTTAGATAAAATATTTATAATAGATTCTTTCCAAATCAAAAGAAGAAAAATAAGTGTGAATTGGTACAGAGTGCATTAGAATGACTCCAGCTTAGGTGAGTTAGAGGAGACTAATAAATCTTCATTCTTTATGATAGTTGCTAATTTAGTATGGACTTATCTCCAGTGAACTCAAAATCAGAGTAATAAAATGGGTACCATGAAGTAAAAATAACTTTGAAAAGTTATACATGAAATATTTATTAGACTTTACTTCTAGGATTTGATGGAAGCAGAAATGATTGAAATTCTCAAGCACTTAAATGATGATGAGGATGCTCTATAAAGAAAGCAAACACAGTGTAGCAATACAGAGTGATCAGAGGTCTGCTTTGGGGCACCCAAGGAGAGCGATTTAATAACCACCTGGGGGCCACATACCGTTTGTGGACAAGGAACAAGTTTTGGGATTCGGGGATGTGGCAATGAAAAGAGAAACAGCATTAATAATAATTATTATTACTTATAGTGTAATTATTTGCTTGAGAATAGGGAGTTAATTTTACTCTTGGTTTGATAAAACTGAGCTTATAAACAAGGGTACGTGCTGGGGATAGATGTGATAGAAGCCAAATGCTTGGAGGTGTGAGAGGTGTAGACTTGGTGAGGAAGAGGAGGGTATATTGAGCAGACTTGAAGGACACTTGAAATAAACTTCCTGTAATTGACAGTTTGTAGAGGGCCAGTTTTGTTTCTTCTTACTGGCCACCATATTGGAGGTTATGGAACCTTCAGTGGGATAAACATTAGGTGCAAGAATCAGAGGATAGTCACTCTAGGCTCAACTAGGGTCTATCCCTTTCCCCTCTTACCAGGCCCAAGTATCTCCAAATGAAACTGTACCTATGCTACAGGAAATATGAGATATTAATAATGGTGAGCTCTATGGAAAAGCCCTGCTTTACACTGTAGACACAAGTGTGTAGAATTATGAGAAAGGAGAAAGGATAAAAATGGCCATGGATCAAAACTTCAGGACAAAACCGTATTTTAATGAAGCTTACATTAATGATTAAAATCCTAGATCCATGTCAAGTAAAGAGAATAAAGTTTTTTTTTAAGGGTTGATAAATGACTTGGCAAGTGCATGGAGAAAATGGTTTTGATCAATATCATGAACATTATTCATGACCATTCACTTGTGAAAAACACAGAACTAGAATTCTAGGGATCAGAGCCCTTAATTTCTAGTATTCTTTAGTGGGAAGTCATTGCTTCTTTGAAAATTTAAGAATGAGGAAATGGGACAGATTTATTGTTCCCTGGCTGCTCTGCATGTGAAAATCAAGAGTCTTTGAGAACTAAGGACTATAACTGCTCTTCACTCTTACAATGAGCACTCCCTGCATCCTGGCAGAAGGTAGGGAACACCTGTCAGAGAAGTTGTCAAGGCCTTCCTGGCTTGGTGTCGGGCATTGGACTTGACGTCCTTAGAGGTCCTTTCCAACTTTATGATTCCAATACATGAATTGTCCATTGGGACTCTACTTCTTGTAAAAGCAAAAGAGAAAGACAGGCTGATTTAGTGGACAAATAGTTGATGACTAGCAGCTCATGTTGACTCTCTCATCTGGGAGGAGAGATTGGGAAGGTTAGACTCTTTTGTGGAGGTAGTCTAACAGCCTCTACTTAAAGGCTGTTCTATTTTAACAATATTTAAAGCAGTAAATATTTATTAATCTTTCTTGGATTCACAAAAAGACTGTCAAATAAGTTCTTATTATGAAGGCTACCGTATAATGTGAGTGGGCATACAAAGAGGCTGATTTCTTTCTTCAAAATGTAATTAAAACTTCTTTTAAAAGGGGCTCATACCTTACATGTCTAATTAATACAGAAGAGACCTATTTTTAATGTAACAATTAAATCCAAAATTGAGGGGACCTCATTCTCTAGAACTCTTACTCCTATTTGATATAATGGGAGTGATACGAAATTTAAAATGGTCCAGAGCGACTACTAACTTTTATTACTGAAGATTATTTTATATTCCCAAAGTATTTAACATTTTCTAATATTTTGACTCTGAAGCATTAAATATATTATATTAAGTTGAGTGATATGAAATTACTAATCTTCTAGCTTTGACTCTCCAAAATGGCAGTCTCTAGCTCAACCTAATAGTATTCTTTCTGTGGTTACTTTTATAAATAACAACAGTATGGCATTTTTGAAGCATTGCCATGTTCCCTAGCATGTGCCTTAATGGTCCACATCTGAGTAGCTTGGGCTAGAATTTTACTTGGCTGAAATGTCAGTAATATTCATGGTATACACATTCCAACTACCTGATGTCCCTGGACTTCATTTTATTTACTTTCTTATTTCTCTTCATTCTCATTTCCCTCAGGTATCCAATGTAAACACATTTGTAGTTTTTCTAACATTTTTCATGCTCACATACACATGAACAAACATGTACAAATACATATATAAAGAGAATTTTTTTCAAACCAAAATGAGTTCATACTACATACATTGCAATGCAATTTACATTGTTTTAAAAAATGTAATATATTATGGAACCACCTGGCTTCGTATTTAAACTTAGACATTGAAATCTATTTATGGATTGGAGGTGGTGGGCAGGAGTGGGATTCTCCACATGGAAGTTTGTTTTTTTCCCTCAACGAAGCTGGGTAGTTTAGGATCAAGTGGCTTTAAAGCTAAGGACATCCTGACTATTTAATTAACGACTAAATGTATGTGTGTAAAAGACACTAATATGCACCGTGAGAATTAGAATTATTTAAACACTCTTCATCCCTTTCCCACTTCTGCTCCAAAAGCCATGAATATTATAAAAAAAAAAAAACCAAGGAACCCTCAACTAACCAACAAACAATCAAACCAACCAACCAACTAACCAGTCACCAAAACATATGGGTGTATTTCAGGGTCTAGAGAGGCCAGGGTGGAAGTCATGAGAGATTATTTATTATAAAGAGACTCACTTTAGTGAATGCTGAAATATCACACCCCCAGTTACTTTCTAGAGTATATTTATACTTGTGGGTGCCTGTTAGTCTTAATTGGACCAAGATGTTTAAAAATATATATTAGAAGGTTCTCTGCTTATTGGATTAAAGGAAGGTTTAAAGTCTCTTTCAAAACTAATATTCTATCATTATATTTGCAACCTTTGGTATAGAAGCAAATTAATAAAGATTCAGTTTCCTGCAAATCCCACTTCCTGACCCTCTGTGTCCCCAGCCCCCAACAATTTTTAGGTAAAAAACAACAAAAGCACCTGTGAGTTATCTTAATTAAATATTATGTTCCTTTAGTTCATGCGATGCAAAAACTTCAATAGTTATTAACACTTGCATTTACTTAACACATTTTTGGCAAGTGACTGTTGTTTTTAATTAGATTTTTAAAATGTTTTCTACAAGATATCAGTTTCCTTTGGCTTCTTTATTTTTAGAGCAAAACAGTCATAAGGGATAGGAGCTATTCTTGAGACAAGAAAAATAAGAACTTGTGGGGCATTAGAAAGGTATTTACAGCCACTTTCATCATCCAAACAGGATAATTCTGGAAAGAAAGAAAGGTCAGAGAAAGGCATTCAAGTATGACATTCTGTGAGTTAGTGGTATTATACCTGCAGCCAATAGGTTTGGAGAACTTTGAACTCTCTTCACAGATGTTAATGTAACAGACATGGCAGCACGTTTGCGAGCACACCCACCGCTATCTGGAAGCAAAAAAATGATATAGCAGAGGCCACAGCAAAGGGTAAAGCACATGCAGTATCATGCATTTTCAGTGAAATGTGGCAGACATCCATGAGAAAGATGGTCAGAACTAGTAACCATGGAATACATCTGCAGAATTTACACCCACCCCAAACTAAAACAAAACAAAACAGAAGAAAAAGCCAGGTGTCTGTCTTAGAAATAGATGCCAATGATTTAATAAAAAATCAGATTTTATACTTAACATTTTATGGGTTTTCTTTAAATAACACACAGCTATAGAATTCAACTTTGTTTACACCATTTAAATTCAACTATTAAATTTACAAGCAGTGTAACTAGCTTTTAGAGTTATGAATAACCTGTATTTCAGGATTAAGAGCTATGGTATAACATACTTTTGTATCCATCATATAGGTTTTACTGTATTCTAGCTATTATGATTCCTGCAAACAGCTTGAAGAACCTCTTGAAGTAAAAGTTGTTAGCTGTTATAGGTATAATATATTTGATACATAAGATTCATAAAGAAAAACAAATGGTGTTATGGCAATACTGTGTCTTCCCATGGTTATTATTAGTTATGGGAATAATTTGCCTAATTGAAATAAAAAACAATGTTGATATATACAGTACTGAAATGACCATGTTTTTAAAAATTAGTTTTTGTACTTTTGAAACATATGTATATGATCTATATATTTTCACTTATGCAAATCACAACATGAAGCAAAATAAGTGAAAATTCATCAGCTATTTTAATATGATTTGAGAAGTTTAGCATAACAAGACTTCTAAAATTGGAAGGTTAATGTTCTATTTACGAACAGATTCCAATTCCATTCCCACATTCCTTTTTATTTGGAATGTGCAATAAATAGTTTTGCTCATTCCCCTGCAACCAAAAGAACTTAAATTTAATTCTCTTTGAAAGTTGTAACAAGAAGATGAATTCTTTAACCACCAATATTAAACATAATTAATATATACTGCTGCATGCTAGTCTTATATATTATTTTTCTTTATTTCTTAAGGAGTGTATCCACTTTGTTTATTGGATGTGAGAGAATTTAAGAGTGCTTGAAAGTATGATTTGGACTAATTGTTGGTAAAATCACAAGTAGTAAGGTCAGCAGACCTTAAAATTGATAGAATGATTCTCATGTCAAAATATAATTTCTTAAATATTGATATATGCTTAAAATAACAATTTCATAAGCAGATAATAATTAAAACAGAAAAATGACTTGAAACAACATACGAAAGTAAATCAAAGACCAAATACAGAAAGACATAAATGGTAGAAACATACAACAAAATGTATCTTCAGGAGAGGCACCGCTAGGATTTTAGCAATCTCTGCAAACTGAAAATAGCTACGAGGGATGAGTGTTTCTGATAAAATGCAGGTAATATAATTGAATATGCAGTATATAGCAGCTATCAATGTCTAAAAGGGTTAAGTAGTCCAGGGTGTTGAAAGTGTAAATGGAAAGCTCTCTAAGAGATTTAATTTTCTAGTTCTTTTAATTTTGAACATCTGAAAACAAGCAGAGATGCAAAGGGAAAATTTCAGAATGAGGAGACCCAAGGTCACTGGTTAAACCTTTGGTTTCCAAAACTCTGTGTTGAGCACCCACCTCAGTGGATTCACAAGGGTTTGGGGACACAGTTCACATTTTTGAGGAAAACACAGCGATATCTATCAGACTGCATACACCACTGTCCTGAGGTAGTTCCCAGTTTCAACATGAGAGGTCGTGTTATCTTCCTGTAAATGATGTCACATCTTTGTAAAGCTGGGTTTTTGGTGATTGCTGTGATGGAAAGCAAGTGCCCTGTGAAAGTAACCTGGACCAGTAACTGGGAGTGGTGACGTACAATCTAATTCCAAGTCTGAGAAGTTTTGTAGCATCCAATATGCACAGACATCCCAATAACAAGTAACTGTGGTTATAAAGAATGAGATAAAATGATTACTTTTCAGTTGAAGTATATTATTTTTTCAGATTGCTTCCGAGTTGATAGAACATGAGTACTTACTAAGTTGTTTGCACCTAACTACTTAATAAATACAACTGTTAGGTACTTCTTTTGGCTTGAGAGTGTGGTGGAGCTATCTTACTGAGCTATCTTGGCACCGTAAACCAAGAAAGTGTGGGAACCTCTGGGTTAAATAATTTTTGTATTCTAGGTAACTCTAAGAACTAGATAAAATGACTGGAGAATTTGTCTTTATTAAAGGTTAATAAAGAGCTTAATTTGAAAAGTTGAGGCATTTGTGAAATTGCTGGAACAGAGAAATCTATTATATTCTGTTTCTACTTATTGTGTCGATACTTTCTGCTAGTTATTGAAGATACCTTTAAGATCACAAAATGAGGGTGCTGTCTTACATACTTAGGTCATCCCAAAGAATCCTAATGCTACCGTTACCTTCACACTCATTAATGACCTGCACACTCTTCCAGGCAGCGGCAAGACTCTCAGTAGCTGTTTCTACTGCTGGAAAACACTCACAGGAGTAAACCACATACAGTGAATCATTTGATGTCTTATTCTCTTTCCTCCATAGCTAAGATTTTCTTTAGAAAATAGTGGATCGAAAATTCCAAGAGTACAAATATACAAAACATGCTGTTTTGTGTATTTTTATACATTATTTAGATACTTTAGTATGAAAAATGTATCACAGTTCCCTTGGCTCGTTTATTATGTATTTGACTAAAAACAAAGAGCTGCTTTAAAAGAATCTTTTTTTTAAACATTAGTGACTGAACATTGTAATAGTAATATATCCCTTTAATGATTGATAGGTATTTAAATAATGAAGACCCATTTTATTTATTGGATACTTAGGAACTAATTTCTACTTCATTTTGAGATACAGTGACAATGCTTTTTTCAACTTCCTACAGTATTATTTATATATATTTTCAAAATTGATATGTTTTTATAGCAACATTATAGTATTTTAACATTTTAAACAAAGGGTTCCAGTCACTTCTAATTAATTATGTATGCATGTTTGAATATCATCTTTTATATGCATACATAGATGTATAAATTCAGTCATATAATCAAAATATCTATGCAAATTAGCATTCCATATAAAGCCCAGCTTATTCCTTTTAATGAGAGGATGTTTAGAGGGTTATATTCATGCTGCTGTAACAGTAACTTGGCTCAAGTACCCTAGAGAACTAAACAAATTTACAAATTTCTATTTGCCTACTTTGTTATTATGGACTGAATTCTATGAATGGGAAGGTTAATTACTAAATGCATTGTAATGAATATGGCATATTTAGTATAATCACATATTATACCTCTGTCATAATAGGGTTATAATAAATAGGAAAATCAGACTCCACAAAATGAAGGATATTGGGAAGTTATGTTCAACTTAGGTCTGCAGGAAAATGCTGTAGAACAATAAGTAAATATAACTTTCTCCTGTGCACGTCCTGCTGGAGTGATTTTGCAGTTTCACAGTATGACTTACCATAGCTCAGCTGTGGGCTCTCTATTCTATTTGCTTTCTTCAATCACTTTTCCCTAATAATATTTTCCTTTCATTTCCCATGTATAATTCTGTCATCTCCAGTTGTCCAAATGACTTTTCTTGGTTCATTTCCAGGGTTATAATTTCTCTTGATTTCTAAGCCTTCCTTGTATATTTCAACTGTTTCCAATATCCTCATCTTGCCTGGTGCTCTACACACCTACGGGCTGACCGCATCTTCAGGGGCCAGCCGACCTCGAATTATCTGAGGTCGGTACGGCAGGTTTCTGCTAAGGGGCAGCCGCAGAATCATGCTCAATAGTGCATGTCTCTACACTTGATCTAGGGATTAGATATTGGTTTTCACCAGTGGTTGTTAATCCTCCCTTGAGGCATTTTGATAACAAGAGACAGCAAAAAGGCAACCAGCTTGACATGAGAAAAATGTCTTCCACTATCCTTTCTCCTTTGCTGTGGAGTGACGGCACTAAAAGAACTTTCCAGTGATCACTTGTGGATAGGAAGAGCTATTTTTAAAATACAAGTTACAAAATTTCAGTGAGACAGTTGTTTTCCAGAATTATTCAACCCTGAATATAAAAATTTCAGGGGTAGAGGAAGGTGAAAATATAAGCTAAAATGCTTATATTATGGAAAAAAAATCATATGTATCAAGCAAGTATCACAAACATTTTTACAGTTAATCTGTATACAGCACAAGAGTTCAGAGCATCCCTGTTATTAAGCTATTTGGAGATACTGTTCCCATATCAAAAACTATAATGCTTAAGACTTTAGGTGTATTGTGTCTGTGGATTAATTAAGCTGATTTCCTGTGAAGCTTTGGCACTCTATCTACGGTCGCTGTCAACATAAAATGTTTACAGAACGGGGGATTTTAAATGTTTTCTACTAGAGCAACTTGCCTATGAATTTAACCTATTTTAAGTGAGAGATTTCAAATGTATGCATTGAATGGCATGCTACCTCTTGCTAGGGTTTACAGGAGTTAATGTCATGATGTGATTACAGAGAAAGGGAGTAAGAATATACAGCAAAACGGAAAAGTCTACTTTTGATAGCTATAAGATTAAAACACAAAAACAAAGAAATCAAGTAATGAATTTAGACTATCTAAGAAACTCAGTATCACATTTAGGATCAGCAGAGGGCTAAACTAATGATTTAGGGCCAAGATGATATTTAGAGAGCAAGGCTGAAGAGTTTAGAACTAACAGAGACAGCATACCTGTGTTCATTTTGACCTTGGAGGGTTTGTTATTAAAGTCTTCAGTTTTCCTGTAGAAAAAAAATGATGTATTAATTTGTTCACTAGCATGGGGAACAAAATATCATGAAAGAGTGTTTTTGTTTTTGTTCTGTTTTGGTGTACCTGTGAGTTAATATCACATGATCATTAGTCTTATTTAAATTAGAGTTTAATAAGGTGGCCAGGGCTTCCCTGGTGGCGCAGTGGTTGAGAGTCCGCCTGCTGATGCAGGGGACGCGGGTTCGTGCCCCGGTCTGGGAAGATCCCACCTGCCGCGGAGCGGCTGGGCCTGTGAGCCATGGCCGCTGAGCCTACATGTCCGGAGCCTGTGCTCCACAGCGGGAGGGGCCGCAGTGGTGAGAGGCCCACATACCGCAAAAATAAATAAATAAATTAATTTTTAAAAATTAAAAAAAAATAAGGTGGCCAGAATTTATAATTCTATTCAAGTTAAACTTCATTTATTATTGGTCTTATTATCCTAAGCATAAACTTATGGTTTTGTTTAATGGTGACCATTAATGGATGAAAATGGGGTTTTCATTGTTAAAAATTAAATTGCTTTCATAAATATTTATAATAACAGTTTTTGTTCTCTAAGCCAGAAAGGATCACTGGTTGTTAAGCGTCCTCTTCCAGAATTTTAATAAGCACTCTGGTACTTTGAAATCATTACCTTACATTATTCAATTTATTATATTCAATTTGTTATAGAGTTAATTTACTACCAGGGAGTGTTTAATGTATTTAATATGTATGTTGAGCAAATAGTCAAAGAAGATAAGATTCATATATTTTTACAAAGATGCAAGAAATAAACGATTACTACAAAACCCACTTCTGTTTCAGTATCAGATATGGTGGTTTTTCCCATTGAAGTGTTTGCTGTATAACAACTGAGATTAATTCATTAGAAATGGTTGGGAAAATGGTGCTTGTTGTAGAAAAACATTTTTTAATATTTGTATTATTTCTTGACGTGTGAGATGACTTAGTTCTTTCCCTGGCGTATTCTCTTAGCCCACTTTTAGAGTTTCTTATTTATCCATACCCTACAAACAAAGAGAAAGGATAGGCTCTTCAGGAAGCAGTTCTTTTAAGAGGAAGAGCTCTCTGAAAGATGTTTAACCCTGGCCACTTTGCCTTGGCTCCTGAGTAGGGCCTGTTGTTAATGAACGTGAACTTCCCCTGCACCACACATTCAGTTTCCATGTGCATTAGCACTCTAACATCCGATAGTTAAAACAATTTTTATCTATACCTCATGGATGAGTAGGGATAGGGTTGAAATGAAATCATCTGTCATGACCTGTCAAGAAAGACCTTCAGTAAATAAGTTTTTCTTCATTCTCTAAAAAGAGCACCAAATGAGCTTCCTGGCTTTCTTGTGTTTGCCTGTCGGGGTTCTGGCCCTGTCCTCTTTTCTGACCATTTCTCCGGTCCTCATATGTTCTACTCTAGCCATCATTCATCATTTTCTTTCAACATGGCCATCGAAGTTCACCTCTTATAGAAAGCCTGGTTCTATTTAGTACTAATGTGAAATTCTAATAATAAAATTAAAGTATTCAATTGGGAAGACTGGACAGCTACATCAAAAGAATCAAACTGGACTACTTGCTCACACCATGCACAACAATAAATTCAAAATGGATTAAAGACTTAAATGTAAGACCTGAAACCATAAAACTTCTAGAAGAAAATAGAGGCAGTATGCTCTTTGACACTGGCCTTCATAATATTTTTTTTGGATATGTCTCCTCAGGCAAGGGAAACAAAAGCAAAAATAAACAAATGGGACTACATCAAACTAAAAGCTTTTGCACAGCAAAGGAAACTATCAACAAAACATAAAGACCGCCTACCAAATGGGAGAAGATATTTGCAAACAATTTATCTGATAAGGGGTTAATATCCAAAATATACAAAGAATTCATACAACTTAACATCAAAAAAAAGCAAACAACCCAATTAAGAACGGGCAGAGGATTTGAATAGGCATTTTTCCAAAGAAGACATACAGATGGCCAACAGGCACGTGAAAAGATGCACAACATCACTAATCATCAGGCAAATGCAAATCAAAACCACAGTGAGATATCACCTCACACCTGTCAGAATAATTATTATCAAAAAGACAACAAATAACGAGTGTTGGCAAGGATATGGAGAAAAGAGTATACCCTCCTGCAGTATTGGTGAGAATGTAAATTGTTGCAGCCACTATGGAAAAGAGTATGGAGATTCCTCAGAAAATTAAAAATAGAACTACCGTAAGATCCAGCAATTCCACTCCAGGGTATTTATCCAAAGAAAACAAAAGCACTAATTAGTAAAAATATACACACTCCTACGTTCGTTGCAGCATTATTTACAATAGCTAAGATATGGAAGCCAACCAAGCACCCATCCATACATTAATAGATAAAGAAGATGTGGTATATATGTACAATGCAATATTACTCAGCCATAAAAAAGAATGAAATCTTGCCATTTGTGACAATGTGGGTGGAACTAGAGGGTATAAGTGAAGTAAGTCAGGCAGAGAGACAAAAATACTGTATGATTTCACTTATATGTGGAATCTAAAAAACAAAACAGGGAATTCCCTGGCGGTCCATGGTTAGGACTCTGCACTTTCACTGCCAAGGGCGTGGGTTCAGTCTCTGGTCAGGGAACTAAGATCCCACAAGCTGTGCAACATGGCCAAAAAAAATTTTTTTTTAATAATTTAAAAAACCAAAACAAATGAGCAAACATAACAAAACAGAAACAATCACAGATACAAAGAACAAACAGGTGGTTGTCAAAGGGGAGGGGGGGTTGGGGGAAGAGAGAAATAGGTGAGGAAGATTCAGAGGTACAGACTTCCAAGCTGCAAAGTAAAGATGTCACAGGTATGAAATGTACAGTGTGGGGAATATAGTTAATAATTATGTAATATCTTTGTATGGTGACAGATAGTAACTAGACTTAATGTCATGATCATTTAGAAATGTATAGAAATATCGAATCACTATGTTGTGTAACAGAAACTGACATAGTGTTGTAGGTCACCTATACCTCAAAAACAAACAAATGAACAAACAGACTGATAGAAAAAGAGATCAGATTTGTGGTTGCCAGAGGCAGGGAGTAGGGGGAGGGGGAACTGGATGAAGGAAGTCAAAAAGTACAAACTTCCAGTTACAAGATAAATAAGTACTAGGGATGTAATGTACAACATGATAAATATAATTAACACTGCTTTATGTTATATATGAAAGCTGTTGAGAGAAAATCCTAAGATTTATCATCACATTGAAAAATATATTATTTTCTGTTTCTTTAATTTTGTATCTCTATGAGATGATGGATGTTCACTAACTTATTTTGGTCATCATTTCACGATGTATGTAAGTCAAATCATTATGCTGTTTACCTTAAACTTATACAAGTGCTGTATGTCAATTATATCTCAATAAACTGGAAAAAAGTTATTTAAACCTACAAATATTTTTAAATGTGAACACCAGCTAATTATAATGATACCTTCTACCCTAGGGTAGGGGGAGAAATGGGGAAATAAAATAGCATGGAAAAAAATACACATAAATGATATGAGATGTATATATGAACCAAGAAGAGAAGGATTTTATCTTTTTTACACCTAGATTGAATTACTAATACCCGGTACTCAATAAATACTAAAACAATGAGCATATAGAATGGATAAAATCACAGTACTGATGTTCATCCCAATTTATATTTTAGAGCTATAAACTGAAAACAAAACAGATGACATCCTCATTATGTAGTGTTTTGGTATCACCTGATTGTGTATAGTGTTACATTCTTGCCCATCCACCCTGGAAGGACACTGCAGCAGTGTAGGAGAAGCAGGGCAGGAGTAATGTGTACAGTTGCCACATCTAGGACTGAGAGAATTACCACAATGTTACACTGAATTTTACGGTAAAATTTCACAGGCCAATTGACATTAAATAGTGAATGAAGGTAACTTTATTATGATGAGTTTTATCTTTTATTTTTCAGCTGGTATAAATAAAGAGGCATATTTCTATTTTCTTTTTCAGAATACAAAAATAAATGTGGTACATAGCTAAGTATGTAGCCTTAATACCTAATGTAGCCTACTTGGTAGCCTTAATACCGCCTGGATTGAAGGGATGCCAATGAAGTCAGGGAAGAAGGCAGTGGTCAGTGCAGGAGCCTTGAGAAAACTCCATCAGATGTATTTATTTTAATGTCTCAGGAGCAAAACTCCTAATACGTTAACCTTAAATGGACAAAATAAATGGAAAAGTAAAGCCTCGGGGGATGTCTGTGACCACGGCTGAGGCAACTGCTAAAACAAGAAGGAATAAACAAGTCTCCAGAAAAATGAGGACTGTAAAGACATTTCCCAAATTCTATTTATCACTCCTTTTCAAAACACTTGATGTTTAAAACTGTTTTAAGTTTTAAAACTGAATGACAAAGACAGTGTTTGAGCTGGAACAATACTGATTGATAAAGAAAACATCAAACAGAAGGAAAGTTAACTCTCAGAACACAAAACCTGCTACTCTAATAATGTTTTTATACCAAGTTAGGGAACTAATAATCAGCATTTGTTGTTTGAATTCAAATGCCGATATTTACAAAATATCTGACACTGAAAAAAGTAAAATTGGATTAATGGGAACAAAGAAAGGCGCTACAAATCCTTGAGCTTTTCATCTTTAAAGTGATGTATCCTGTTACTTATAAATGTAACACGTGAGGTTTTTTAGCTTCGCATTGTTTTAGATGTCAAAATGTGAAATGACTAACTACCTAATCAGGCAAGACATTTTCCAAGTTTTAAAAGAAAAGCCACAGTGATTGAGCTCTGCAGAAGAACCCGAAACCGAAGGCTTCTTGGGTGACTAATAAAAATGCATGATTCTATTTCCATTATTTGTACTAAAGCCATTAACAAGTCCACAACTGAGAACTCTCTTTAGACAGTTTGAACTAAAGCGAATCTAATCTCTTTTGTTCTGTT